TGTGTGTCTGTGCGTGCGTGTGTACGTGTGTGTGAGTGAGCGGCTGTTCTTGTGTCTGTGCGAGCGTGTCCATGTCATTGAATACACCTACACGTGTATTATAAGCATTATATACCCCGAGAAAGGCCTTGTAAATAACCAAAAGTTTTCGCTAATCCCCAGATTTTGAACAGACGGCGTCTGCAATAACCGGAAGTGACGTGATAAAAGACTGAAAAGACCTCGTCCCTAGGTCTTGCCCAGTCAGAGAAGCCAAACATCTGGCGTGTGGTCATAACGTTACAAAAAAAAAAAAACCTTCGCAATATTGAATGACCTTCCGTCCATAATTACGGCTATTATTATTGACAGTCATCGCTTTTCTCGACCAGAGTTCAGGTCCAAGGTGAAGGTCACAGGGCCGATCAGCTGTCAAAGGGCACGTCTTACTCACATCTGAGTCGTCTTGTTGTGTGGCGGCGGCGTGAAGATTATCTCTCTCTCTCTCTCCAGCTGAGGGTCATAGTTCAGCCACACCATACCACACCACACCACACCACACCACACCACACCACTCGGTGATTGCGTGTGTGTATTGTTGTTGTTGTCGTTGGTGTTCATTCGTCAAAGGCGAAAGCGCCGCAGTTGCAGCTTTGGAGAACGATAGTGTGTTGTGGCATTGTGTTGTGACAGTGACAGTGTGTGTGGTGACGTCAAGATTGTGTTGAGAGTTCACCCTCCAGCCAGCAACTGAGAAATTTCTTCCACAAGCTTACAAGGGTTTCGCAGTTCAGACAGAACCTGTGTCCGCACTCCAACTTCAAACCATGCAGGCGAATAACGAAAACAACCAGGCGAGAGGTATGTACTCGTATCTTATTGGAGATGACTTCCTTAACGAGCTACCTACGAGACAGAGTACTAGATCTAGTAGAACTGAGGGTAGGGGATTGAGTTAGAGTTTGGGCTAGGATTAGGTCTCTTCTTTATTGTGTTTGTTGGGGTTTTTGGTCTTTACGGAAGTCCTTCCTCTAATTGTGTTACAAGTGCCGTAAAACTCTCTTACTAAAACTAAAACAAAATTCTGTCTTTTGACTCTTGCCTCCTCCTTCTTCACCCTTCCTTTAAAATGTCCCGTTTGTCTAACACTAACAGTTCGTCCCACCTGTCTTGTACAACTACAATCACATGTATCGTCAAACTCTTACTTACTGAAACGAAAACTACGTGTAGATTCTAGACCTATTTACCATGTGCCCAAACATTAAGGTAGAATACAACTCAAGTACGCCTTGCCGTTCTCTTGGAGTTTTTTATCCACTCCTTTCATGTCCATTTAAAAACATAATATCTAAATCTATGTAAATTTTTACTTTAAAAAGGTGACTAAAGACACCCAAAAAAATGTAAATTTGCTTTTCCTTGGGCACTCAATCTTTGGAATTCACCAAACTTCGGTGGCCATTTCCACAAAGTTCACCTCTAGCATCAGGCGACCCCCAGACCTCCTTTAATCGCACATTTTCAACTTCTGTTCAAAATAGATGGATATTGTGTGTGTGTGTGTGTGTGTGTGTGTGTGTGTGTGTGTGTGTGTGTGTGTGTGCGTGTGTGCGTGTGTTTTCATCAAACACAAGAAAAATGAAAAAGCTTTAAGTTTAAGATTATACCGACATCACCATAAGACTTGACGAGGGCTTGAGCCCAAGGTGTGGCGACACGAATGTGCATGATCGTGGAAGTGGAACTTGGACATTCAGATAACCAAATCTATCACAAGTTGGCCTACTGGTGAGGGCGGGGGGGGGGGGGGGA